TTTACCCATTGTGGTGGTTTCAGTAAGATTTTTACCCATTGTGGTGGCTTCAGTAAAGTTTTTACCCATTGTGGTGGCTTCAGTAAAGTTTTTTACCCATTGTGGTGGTTTCAGTAAGATTTTTACCCATTGTGTTGCTTTCAGTAAAGTTTTTTACCCGTTGTGGTGGTTTCAGAAAGGTTTCTGACTGGTGGACAGTTACATCAAATGATATTCCTCCCCCCCCCCCGCATAATATTAGCTGCTGTCTTCTCTACGTCTGAAAACTAACATAACAAACACCTTTTGTGTTTGCGACGCTATTGTCTTCGCATTCATTAACACGAAAATTAATTTTGCTACTGGATAAACACATTTGATTGTTCCTGGTAAGGCTACGGGTTTATGGAAGGTTGGATTTAGCATAGTGATGGTGTGAGACAACACCCAGGCTAGAGGAAGTGTTCCCTGGCTACACAGTGGAACACCCAGGCTAGAGGAAGTGTTCCCTGGCTACACAGTGGAACACCCAGGGTAGAGGAAGTGTTTCCTGGCTACACAATGGAACACCCAGGCTAGTGGAAGTGTTCCCTGGCTACACAATGGAACACCCAGGGTAGAGGAAGTGTTCCCTGGCTACACAATGGAACACCCAGGGTAGAGGAAGTGTTCCCTGGCTACACAATGGAACACCCAGGGTAGAGGAAGTGTTTCCTGGCTACACAGTGGAACACCCAGGCTAGAGGAAGTGTTCCCTGGCTACACAGTGGAACACCCAGGCTAGAGGAAGTGTTCCCTGGCTACACAGTGGAACACCCAGGGTAGAGGAAGTGTTTCCTGGCTACACAATGGAACACCCAGGCTAGTGGAAGTGTTCCCTGGCTACACAATGGAACACCCAGGGTAGAGGAAGTGTTCCCTGGCTACACAATGGAACACCCAGGGTAGAGGAAGTGTTCCCTGGCTACACAATGGAACACCCAGGGTAGAGGAAGTGTTTCCTGGCTACACAGTGGAACACCCAGACTAGAGGAAGTGTTTCCTGGCTACACAGTGGAACACCCAGGCTAGAGGAAGTGTTCCTGGCTACACAGTGGAACACCCAGGCTAGAGGAAGTGTTTCCTGGCTACACAATGGAACACCCAGGCTAGTGGAAGTGTTTCCTGGCTACACAGTGGAACACCCAGACTAGATGAAGTGTTCCCTGGCTACACAGTGGAACACCCAAACTAGAGGAAGTGTTCCTGGTTACAGAGTGGAACACCTAGACTAGAGGAAGTGTTTCCAGCTACACAGTGGAACACCCAGACTAGAGGAAGTGTTCCTGGCTACACAGTGGAACACCCAAACTAGAGGAAGTGTTCCTGGTTACAGAGTGGAACACCTAGACTAGAGGAAGTGTTCCTGGCTACACAATGGAACACCCAGACCATAGAAAGTGTTCCCTCATCACTCAGTGGAACACCCAGACTAGAGGAAGTGTTCCCTTACCACATAGTGGAACACCCAGACTAGAGGAAGTGTTCCCTCACCACACAGTGGAACACCCAGACCATAGAGAGTGTTCCCTCACCACACAGTGGAACACCCAAACCATAGAAAGTGTTCCCTCACCACACAGTGGAACACCCAGACCATAGAAAGTGTTCCCTCACCACACAGTGGAACACCTAGACCATAGAAAGTGTTCCCTCACCACACAGTGGAACACCCAGACCATAGAAAGTGTTCCCTCACCACACAGTGGAACACCCAGACCATAGAAAGTGTTCCCTCACCACACAGTGGAACACCCAGACCATAGAAAGTGTTCCCTCACCACACAGTGGAACACCCAGACCATAGAATGTGTTCCCTCAGCACACAGTGGAACACCCAGACCATAGAGAGTGTTCCCTCACCACACAGTGGAACACCCAGACCATAGAGAGTGTTCCCTCACCACACAGTGGAACACCCAGACCTCTGACTGTGTTCCCCTCACCACACAACGGAACACCCAGACCTCTGACTGTTCCCCTCACCACACAACGGAACACCCAGACCTCTGACTGTTCCCCTCACCACACAACGGAACACCCAGACCTCTGACTGTTCCCCTCACCACACAGTGGAACACCCAGACCTCTGACTGTTCCCCTCACCACACAACGGAACACCCAGACCTCTGACTGTTCCCCTCACCACACAACGGAACACCCAGACCTCTGACTGTTCCCCTCACCACACAGCGGAACACCCAGACCTTTAGCACCAGCCAGACAGAAGCGAGGACCTTTCAAATGAACGTTTTAGAATAAAGAAAAGGACCAAAAAAAACCAGGCGTTTCAGACCACTGTACCTCTTCGTTGGGGTCTGAGCTAACAGCCCGCTTCTGTATCCGCGGGTCGTGGTTCGCTGAGGGCGTTTGGAGGCTGCTAGTGCGGGTATTGGGCGCGGGAAGGGCGTGGACCACGGCCAGGGCGACCAGCAACAGGTGGGCGGAACAATGCATTCTGTTCAAACAGGTGGTGTAGCGCGTCGATGGAGTTTCTGCGTTCGGAGTCCTGCGGTGGGATCACACTGCTGCTGGGCCTCGGGGAAGGAGGAGGAGGAAGAGGTGAGGACACGACGGGAGCGCTGGTCACTGCCAAATGGACGGAGGTTGCGCCGGGTTTGCTAATATAGAGGGCGCGCTGCCCCCTCCCCCTACACCCCACGCGCAAAGTGGCGGTGTGTGTCGGCTCCAGTGGGGGGTGGTGGCGCCATGGGCCGCCCCCCTCCTCCTCCCCCCTCCCCTACCCCCCCCCCCTCCGCATCAACCCCCCCCCCCTCCGCATCAACCCCCCCCCCCCCTCTCTCTCTCTCTCTCTCTCTCTCTCTCTCTCTCTCTCTCTCTCTCTCTCTCTCTCCTCTCTCTCGTCTCTCTCTCTCTCTACTCTCTCTCTCTCTCTCTCGTGGTAGCATATGTACACACGCCCCCCCCCTCTCACACAGTCTTACTCAGTCTTAACACACCCTCTCACACAGTCTTACTCAGTCTTAACACACCCTCTCACACAGTCTTACTCAGTCTTAACACACCCTCTCACGACACAGTCATATGCTCCTTATATTCCTCCCATGTAATGCCACTCTCCTACATACTCAAGCACACTCCCACACTCACACACTCCCACACTCCCACACTCCCACGCTCTCTTAACACTCTTCCCACACTCCCCCACTCTCACACACTCCCACACACTCCCACGCTCTCCCACACACTCCCACGCTCTCTTAACACTCTTCCCACACTCTCCCCCACACTCCCACACTCTCACACACTCCCACACTCTCCCACACACTCCCACGCTCTCTTAACACTCTTCCCACACTCTCCCCCCACACTCCCCCACTCTCACACACTCCCACACTCTCCCACACACTCCCACGCTCTCTTAACACTCTTCCCACACTCCCACACTCTCACACACTCCCACACTCTCCCACACACTCCCACGCTCTCTTAACACTTCCCACACTCTCCCCCACACTCCCACACTCTCCCCCACACCCACACTCTCTCCCACACTCCCACACACACTCGCGAGCTGATCTCTCCAGCCCTCGCATATATTTAATGTCTTAAATCTATACAGAATATAAATCTATATTCTTGAGGGCAGTAATCCCTCTCAAGAATACCTAGTATTGAAAGGGAATTATGTGAGTGTGAGTCTCCCAAAGGTGATAGTTCGAGCTACAGGTAAACAGTAGTATCATTAGAGAATGCCTCTACAGTAGTGAACGGTGAAGTTTGTGTACTACTTTGGCCATTGAGAAGATCGATTGGAGCACTGAGGTGGACTCGAACCGACGATCAAGGCATTCTCATTGATATATATATATATATATATATATATATATATATATTATATATATATATATATATATATATATATATATATATATATATATATATATCACGTTAGGGTGATTTGTTTACGTTTTTTGGTCATTACAACTATTATTATTATTACTACTACTGTACCCCTGGTGTATGGTGTCATTACTCAAACTTTAAACTTTTATATTTGTATTTTTTGGGGGAGCCCGTACCTTGTCAAGCACAAGACGGTGGAAAAAGTTCAGAGGTATGCCACTAGGCTAGTCCCGGAGCTAAGAGGCATGATTTACGAGGAAAGGCTGCGGGAAATGCACCTTACGACACTGGAAGACAGAAGAGTAAGAGGAGACATTAATACCACCTACAAAATCCTCAGAGGAATTGACAGGATAGATAAAGATAAACTATTTAACACGGGTGGGACGCGAACAAGGGGACACAGGTGGAGACTGAGTACCCAAATGAGCCACAGAGACGTTAGAAAGAACTTTTTCAGTGTCAGAGTAGTTAACAGGTGGAATGCATTAGGCAGTGATGTGGTGGAGGCTGACTCCATACACAGTTTCAAATGTAGATATGATAGAGCCCAATAGGCTCAGGAACCTGTACACCAGTTGATTGACAGTTGAGAGGCGAGACCAAAGAGCCAGAGCTCAACCCCCGCAAGCACAAATAGGTGAGTACAACTAGGTGAGTACACACACACACACACACACACACACACACACACACACCAACAAGGCAATACCAGCCACTATCATTTAACATACCCATTGAAGCAGTCTTATCGGACAGCCTCCAGCCCGTCACTCATCCATCATCCACCAACGCGGCCTTCCTCACCCGCCACACACACCATTCATCACCTCATCCATCTAGATAACCACCCATCCACCCTCCAACCTCCCCCCTCCCCCCCAAAAAAAATATATATGAACTCAAAGTAGCAAGCACTCAACCGGTTACTGCTACTTTAATGTAAGCTCATTTCAGTCACCTGTGGTTGAGTGCTCACTATTTCCCCCCCACCCACTTCACCATCTTCTACACTCCCCTCTCCACACCATCACCTTCCTCTCCACACCCACCCATTCCATCTCACCATCACTGTAATAATTTTCCCTATACTGTATCTCCATTACTGTACCCCAGGGGCCAGATTCACGAAGCAGTTACGCAAGTACTTATGAACGTGTACATCTTTCCTCAATCTTTGACGGCTTTGGTTACATTTATTAAACAGTTTACAAGCATGAAATCTTCCCAATCAACTGTTGTTATTGTTATAAACAGCCTCCTGGTGCTTCGGAGCTCATTAACTGTTTAATAATTGTAAACAAAGCCGCCAAAGATTGAGAAAAGATGGACAGGTTCGTAAGTGCTTGCGTAAACTGCTTCGTGAATCTGGCCCCCTGGTATTCAAAATGCTAAAGTCTATGGACTCGGCACTGAACATTTCACATCCGCAGACTTCGTGAAGGAGAGGCATTGGGGTCGTGCACTGGACCGACCCCGACTCCCTCTATGACACTCCGAGTAAAATCACAATTAATCCCGCAAAGTTCAATGAGAATATCACTGGCTTCCACCCTCACATAGACGAACAGTCAGTCATATGTATACACTCACACATGTATACATATGTACACACACACGCACTGTTAACCCTTAGGCTGCGACTAACGTCAATTGACGTTTTAACGTTTGGACAAAATATTCGGTCTAGCATTGGGATTATGGCCGTGCCGGTGATGTATGGCAGGTTATAATATGACCGGGGTGCTGGGCAGGCCGGTCTGGCGTCCCAGGCCCTGGGCCAGCTGGGGCTCCCGTCTGGCGTCCCAGGCCCTGGGCCAGCTGGGGCTCCCGTCTGGCGTCCCAGGCCCTGGGCCAGCTGGGGCTCCCGTCTGGCGTCCCAGGCCCTGGGCCAGCTGGGGCTCCCGTCTGGCGTCCCAGGCCCTGGGCCAGCTGGGGCTCCCGTCTGGCCACACATCTGGCCAATTAAGCCAAATTTTAATGAAACAAACTGCGGCATTCCCGACTTGTGCCGAAATGTAATCAGCGGGTAAACACACGTGTCAAAGCACCAAGTTCCTTTTTTCAATTAAATTTGGAGATCTAGCATGGACAACTAAATTGCTCAGTTTTATGATTTCGTATTTGGTAACGGTGTAGACTGGAGGTCACTATATGGCTATCTGGGCTTGCCTGTCACTCACTCCGCATTCGTGAGGTAGAGAGAGAGCAATCTTAGCAAGTTGTGAGGAGTGCCGGCTGCTGAGAGAGGTTTCCGGCACCAGGAGTGTGTGTGTGTGTGTGTGAGGACGACACGCGCTGAGGAAGACTTGGGCCGGAGTTCTCAAACGTTGATAATGAAGCCTCTTAATGTTGGCAGATAGTAATTAGTCCGGGGTATTGGCTTCTCATATTTGCCTCCTGCTTGACTAGGTAGATGTCTCGTCTATCCTCTCTCTCTCTCTCTGTATGTTTCTCTCTCTCTCTCTCTCTCTCTCTCTCTCTCTCTCTCTCTCTCTCTCTCTCTCTCTCTCTCTCTCTCTCTCTCTCTCTCTCTCTCTCTCTCTCTCTCTCTCTCTCTCTCTCTCTCTCTCTCTCTCTCTCGCAACTCCGCCTCTCATCATAAAAACATAGGAAAACTTGCTAGAGGAAGAGCTTGCCGTGACCTGTGCTCCTGTGGCCGGCCCAGAGAATGTTGGCCAATACTGTGTCAGGGGCCCCGGTCAGTACTGACATCCTCCTCAGCTCATTGAAACATCACCTTCATGTGATGATTGAGCCCAGTAGCCTCAGGAACCTGTACATCAGTTGAGAGGCGGGACCAAGGAGCCAGAGCTCAACCCCCGCAAACACAAATAGGTGAATACACACAACACACGCGCACACACACACACACATGCACGCTCCACTGCACGCTCAGCCTTGGCGTAATCTGGTACACTCTTTGACTCCTGGGCTTCCACCAAGTTCAAAAGCCATCAGTTACCGCCTGCGGTCTTAACCGCCACACGCGCCCACCCGCCATGTTTAACCGCCAACCGCCCGTTGGCTGGCCGCCCTGTTGCCACCACTCGCCGCTCTTCACTTTGAATTCCTGCATTTATTGAAATAAATAAATAAATATATATATATATATATATACACATATATATTATATATATTATATATATATATATATATATATATTATATATATATATATATATATATATACTCTGGTGCCAATGTGGGGACCCATAGCCTCGGAGAAGAAAATAAAAAGTATTCAGAGGAGACCTTGTGGTTTCTCACTAAACACTAATATATTATCTTCTCCTACCACCCCCATTCTTTTGTATGTACACATATATATTTACTTTATTTGAACTTTGTTACAAAAAAGGAGTTACATATGGGTTACAAAGATGGTTATCATAGGTTGTCGAGTTCCTCCAGCTCCTCAGATGGCGGGCAGGAACCCTGGATGCAGTGCGCATTTCCCCTCTGTATCGCCACACTGAGGCGCTGGAAAAGAAAGCTTGCAGCTCTTGGGTCCCTTGTTGTTTCAATGAGCCTAGAACCCAGTTCCTTCAAAAAACTGGTAGCACTTTTACCCCAGGCGCCGAGTGTCTCGAAGCAATGGGGACAAAATTGTAGTGGTGATCCAGTTCTCTATACTTACGGGATTGGCTGCTTCCCTGTGGGTGGCAGCGCCACTGGTTGTGCAACACTGAGGTTAATGTAGGTGTTAGCCAGGTTGATACGCA